TGTTTTCATGACTATATATTTTAAAATTTCTCAGTTTTAATTCCTGAGATAGCAAATAATAAGTAAAACTCAAATACTAAAAAGCTCTTTAAGGTCCTCGATAGTTTTAAAAATCTAAGGTGGCCTGAGACAAAAACTTTAAGAACCCCTGGTATACACATGTCATTTTACTTCCTCCAGCAGCAAAAGGCTGGAGACTTGAGGGCTGAGGAGAGGGGAAAACCGCCTTTGCCCTGCTATTACTCATTAGAGACAGCTGAGTGGAATCAGAGCCTAAATCCCCAAGGCTGAGGCTTCACTAGGATACTATTTTTTGGTTTGAGCTAAAACAGCAGTTATGAGTTCTGAGGAAACAGAATCAAATAGAAAATATTTGCTGTTAACTGAGTTCATGAGAAACCTACACACAGAACCAGAGGCAGTCATTTGAACAAGAGGATACTACGTGGTTTAAAATCAGGAAAGGTGTACGTCAGGGTTGTATCCTCTCACCACACTTATTCAGTCTGTATGTTGAGGAAATAATCTAAGAAGCTGCACTAGGAAGAATGCAACATCAGGATTGGAAGAAGATTCATTAACAACCTGCAATATTCAGAGATAAAACTTTGCTTGCAGAAAGTGAAGACAACTTGAAGCACTTACTGACGAAGATCAATGACTACAGTCTTCAGTGTGGATTATACCTCAACATAAAGAAAACAAAAATCCTCACAAGTGGACCAATAGCCAACATCATGATATATGGAGAAAAGATTAGAGTTGTCAAGGATTTCATCTTACTTAGATCCATAATCAACACCCATGGAAGCAGCAGTCAAGAAATCAAATGAAATATAGGTGATTAGACATATATGTTGAAAATAAAACTTCCTACAAGTCTTAAAAAGCAAAGATGTCACTATGAGGACTAAGGTGCACCTGACCCAAGCAATGGCATTTTCATTCCCCACGTATGCATGGGAAATTTGGACAATGAATGATGGAGATTGAAGAAGAATTGATGTATTTGAATTATGGTGTTTAGGAAGAATATCAAATATACCACAGAGTATATGCAGTTTACACATAACAGGAGGCAAAGTTAGAATAACTTCTCAGACGCACACACACACACACACAC